AGCGATCGTTTATTGCGTGCTGCGCGGTTCCGCTGGGTAGTTGTGAGAAGCGCCTGGCGCGAGAGCAGCAGCTGAAGCTGATGCGGAGTTTCCATCTGGGCTCAGGAAGTACTGCGTGCTGTCTGTGCTTTGCGAGAGCGGCGGGCAAGGCGGGGCCTAGTTACGAGCGGAGAAAAAACAGAGCGAAGTAAGGCGTATAAAGTCGGCCCTGAAAACTGGCAGTGGCTTTTACCCTGATCACTGTCATGCAGTGTGCCATATGAGCAGCGTGGAGAATACCTAAAGCGCACCCGCCCAGCGAGGTGCTGCGAAACTAATGTCGTCGTGGTTTGCGAAGCATTTGCATGATGCACACAATACAACTTAAGGAGATAATCTATCTTATTTCAGAGTGTGGTTCAAATTGGGGTCATATAGCAAACAGTAAGAAGGTGATGGAATAGGTATGCAGTAGTAGCAAAGTGTCCCGGGCATATAGCAAGGCAGCAGTCTTGCAAAAAATAAAATATGCAGGCGACTACTTTGAAGGATACGGTTAATGTGCATGTATTAAGTGAGACTGCACAGTTTTTCTTACTTTTCCCAGTTCCTAACAGTTTGATTATGTAGCCATCAAGATAGAGCACACTGTTCGCCTTTGAGACTTATCAAGCCAACAGCTCTGATGATTTTGGTGCCTTTATATCAGCAGGGTTGGAACTTTTCAGTCTGTCCCTTCAGCTGGTGCAGTCACTGACAGCACAGCAATAGCATGAGAGAGAACCCATCCTTGACGATGGGAATCACAGTTACCTTTGGAGACTTTTGAAGGGGCTATGTACTTTTATGGTCTGACTTTTCTTGTTGAAGTCCTGTGGGTTTTTTTTCCCAGCTGCTGTCCTGCCTTTAGTATTTTGGGGAATATTGCAGCAAAATACTGGCCCCTGTAACTTCTTCCTACGTGTTATAGTCCTTATTTATCTTTTTCCCTTTCCAAATGTTTCTTGTCCCTGCCTGTTATATTCATAAAGGCAGTCTTTTCTGTGCAGTACTTTCCCCCCTGTTTTCAAGTGCATATAATTCGTGGCTGTTGGAAGATAAGCCTGCTGTTGTCATTTTTGTTGGTGGTCAGAACAGGAGTAGCACTGTTAAAAGGGAAGTCTGGATTTGACCAGCTGCCAGTAGACGGAAGTGCTGTGTGTGTCCATGTCCTTTCGCAGTATGTCACAAGAACTGAGAGGAGGCTCAAGCAAGCTCCGTGGGAAGGAATCCTAGGGGAACTTTAACACTGGCAAATCTTTACTATGTGTATGTAAACTGGCTCATTCAGGGTGCGTGGTATAACTGAATGTGAGTGACTTTCATGTAATTGGTAAAAAGCACGCCTCTACCAAGTTTGAGATCATACCTCAAAAAGAAGCCATCGTTTCATTATAGAAAATCTTATTTTTGTTTTTCCTTCCAACCAGGTAAGCATTTCTGTATGAAAATCCCACGTAGATGCAGACATCCAGGGGGAGACATACAGAGATCCAGACATCCAAAAACTTCTTGGCTTTTTGTATCCTGTGATTACATTTTTGGAAAAACTATGAAGATACTGCTTGCCAACTGACTATTTTTTTTTTTTAAATTCCTGTTTACAGAGCAGCTACTGCTGAGTTCTCTTGTGTTGTACCATTAATGTTACAATTTTAATAACTTGATGCCTAAATAAACTGATGTGAGGTTAAATAATACTATGTGAACTGAACTGCAGATACTCGGATACTAAAATATTTCAGTGATTCCTGCAGACATATAAAAAGGACATGCCTTTTTATATAAGTCTCTTCCTTTTTGAGCATGCTTTATCTTAAAATCAAACCGGTTGGAGCAAGGATGAAGTGTAAAACTACTAGCCTAAGAGTCATAAGAACACCCAAGTTATGAATACCTAAGCTACCAGTTAGCCCTTCTGTAGAGAGGGGATAGCTAGTCTACAAACCAGTATACTGTAGACCAGCAACAATCAAAGCTTGAAAAACACTTTGAGATAATCATGTCAAGTTTTGAGTTGCTTGTAGGCATTATCTGGGTGTGCTGGTTTTGGGAAGAACTACTGTGGCTGTGTAGGAGGGAGGCAGCAGACCCCTAAGAACATTGTTGTGTTCACAAGCACACCTGAAGTCAGCCAGGTTGAAATACCTGTTCTGCTGGTCGAATGCCATTCCTGCAGCCTAAAGCAGCTTGAGCTGATAGGGTAGTTACACTTTTTTGGCCATACAGAAAGGAGCCATCTTACTGCATGGTAGCAATCTCCACCAGCTGAATCAATTCCAGGGAAGACTTATGCATACAGCAAATGGTTGATTTGTTACAGTAATGTCTTTGCTGCACCATCACGTTTCATCTACTGCAGCCTTTGCTGTTGTAAATTATTTATAACAAAGTAACTAAAATTGCTGTCATAAACTGTTTGAAAATACAGTTGACATCATATATCCTGAACCTAAAGTGTTTTGAATATCTTCCATAAAAAGTAATTTTGCAGACTTGCTTTGAAAGATTTTCAAATCAGTGCATTATATTTTAAAACGTTAAAGCAAAAAATTTTGCAGTGCTACCTGACAAATCATACTCCTTAGAAGAAATGTCTAAATGTGTGTTTTGCTAAAAAGGCAATTTCTTGGTTTTTGTTTTCAGGTGATCACTGGAGGTCATTATGATGTTGACTGTCGGTTGGAAGATCCTGATGGCATTGTATTGTACAAAGAGATGAAGAAACAGTATGATAGCTTCACGTTTACTGCATCCAGAAATGGAACATACAAATTCTGCTTCAGCAACGAATTCTCTACTTTCACACACAAAACTGTGTACTTTGATTTCCAGGTTGGAGAAGATCCACCTCTGTTTCCTAGTGAGAACAGAGTAACTGCACTTACCCAGGTAAAATGTTGTTGTGTTTGACAGCAGCTGATAGCTGGGGGCAATGTATTTTTCAAGTTCAGCTGCATTAGATATCTATATCACTTGAAAATCAATGGAATGGAACTTTTAAGATAATTTGAATTACTACAAATAAGCTTTCTTTCTGAAGATAGCATTTATAGAACACACAGCAGAGCTGAGGAGGAATTACCAAGTCCTTAAGAGAAAGTTAGGGTAGTAACTTAAACACTAGGCCACTCTTTGTTTGTTTGTTTCTTGTTAACGGGAATTCCTTTTAATGCCATGGTTCTTTGTCTCTTGATGTGTGGATTTTGCAAACCATAAATATCATAGAATCTTTTGGCTGTAAGGGACTTTTAAGGGTCATTTAGTCCAACCTCCCTGCAGTGAGCAGGGACATCTTCAACTAGATCAGGTTGCTCAGAGCCCCATCCAACCTGACCTGGAATGTTTCCAGGGATGGGGCATCTACCACCTCTCTGGGCAACCTGTGCCCGTGTTTCACCACCTTCATTGTGAAAAATTTACTTCTTGTACCTAGTCTGAATCTCCCCTCTTTTAGTTTAAAACTGTTACCCCTTGTCCTATCACTACAGGCCCTGCTAAAAGTCTGTCCCCATCTTTCTTAGAAACCCCCTTTAAGTACTGGAGGGCTGCAGTAAGGTGTCCCCAGAGCCTTCTCTTCTCCAGGCTGAACAACCCCAGCTCTGTCCTCAGAGGGGAGGTGCTCCATCCCTTGGATCATTTTTGTGGCCCTCCTCTGGACCTGCTCCAACAGGTCCATGTCTTTCCTGTGCTGAGGGCTCCAGAGCTGGATGCAGTACTCTGGGTGGGGTCTGACCAGAGTGGAGTAGAGGGACAGAATCACCTCCCTTGACCTGGCCATGCTGCTTTGGATGCAGCCCAGGATACAGTTGGC